TGTTCCACCATCCTCCTAATAAGGTGGATAGCTTCTGTGGTAGATTGCCCCGGCATGAACCCGAACTGGTTGTCTGAAATAGACACCGTCCTTCGCACTCTCATTTCTACCACTCTCTCCCAAACTTTCATGGCATGACTTAGTAATTTGATGCCCCTATAGTCGTTACAGCTCTGGACATCACCTTTGTTCTTATACAACGGGACCATTGTACTCCACCTCCACTCTTCAGGCATCCTATTAGTCTTGAATATAACACTAAACAATGAAGTAAGTCATCCCAAGCCTGCTCTACCCACACACTTCCACAGTTCAACCGGAATTTCGTCTGGCTCGGTAACTCTGCCCCTTCTCATCTTACGCATTGCCTTCATGACTTCATCGATCTCAATGTCCCTACAATTNAAGAGTCGCCTTCTACTGTCCTAACCCGAGTCTTAGATCCCTCATACATGTCTTTAATCACCCTAATATAGTCAATCGGGACCCCTTTATCCTCTAAGCAGCTCCATAAGACCTCCCTAGGAACCCTATCGTACGCNTTCCACTTTACCTTGGACAACTGCATTCCACCACCAATCTCCTTTGTGGCCACCATTGTGGCCTGTAGATATCCCTAACACCTCTCTCGCCGCCTTTCTTATACAGTCCGCCGTCGTCGACCACATTGTGTTTGCGTCCCCACTACTTCTCCAAGCTCCCATTGCCGATAACCTTCCTTCCAACTCCTTAGCTTTATCCTTAGTTAAGGCGCCCCACCTAATCCTGGGACCTCTTAGCGTTCTTTTCTCAATTACTTACTAATTCAGACAATATTAATTTCTGCCATCAACAAACATATTTCAAAATTTTAAACTAATACGAAGTTAAATTAGTTACTAACTTCATGACCCTTTTCTGAATTAGAAAACAAGGCTTCTTTTTATAAGAAGTCAGTATCTTTAATCTAATCCATCATCATATAGCCTCAGCATATATGTAACAATAAATAAGAAAGGCAGAAGCTCTTGCTCCAACAGCAGGTAGAGTACATGAATGTTTGATTATGTCATGAAACACTAGAAACCTAACCTATACTTGCAAATAACAGTACACAAAGTGATACTTCCCAATTAAATTCAGATAATATCTAATTAACTATCAGTAAAAGACAACGTTCTTCCAAGATTATATATGCCTAACTAATATTTTCAGCTTATAGGGGTACTTAACAACCTAAGTTTCTGAAAATTCGACTAAACCAATAAAAGAGAAACTAGAGGTCAATTTCCTCTCTTAATTGGAGATATACATTTTCAACTTCCAAAGATATGGAAACTGATGACTGGTCAAGATGTTACAGGCTTTGCAACTCGAAATCTCGATAATTATGCCATTTTTGGTATCTCTGGTGACCTGTCAGCACCGGCCTAAGTCGACGTGCAGATGTGCATTGAGAACAGCAGCATCCCCTTAGGTCTTTCACGCAGCCTTCGCAGCATCTGAATAAAACCAATCAAGTATTAGAACGAATATAACTACACACTTTATTTCGATGTACTGCTTATACAACTGACACAAAGCACATAGTAATATAGGAGCAACCTCCGCGGGAGGAAAGCACGTAGAAAAGTTTTATCTTAAGGATCCTTGGCTAGAGACGTCAAGTTCTTTCTCCTACTTGGAGGAAAGTTGATACAAATAGGTAATTTAAGTCATGTAAGTCTTTCGCCCAAAATGTCTCTCGTTAGCTGAATTTTGGAAGGAAAACAAATCATATACCAACCCCACAGGCTTGATGAGGCAAATATATGTGATTAAAGTAGCATCCATCCATATATTTATTTGGTGAAATGGTTAGTCTTACAGGAAAAGTAAGTTGCAGTCGAGGTTTGCACAATTGCGGTGCCTCAGCTCACAGACTTGTGAACCACAGATGTAGCATTTGGCAAACGAGTTATCCAGGGGGGCCTCTAGCTTTGTGCTTGCTTCCATCTCCACTTCAGGCTTGTAAGTAGAAGGTGGCAGAGAAAGACGGGCATCAAATACAAACAGATTTCCAACCCAACCTACAGAACCTTCTCTCTCAAGATAATGAGAAGCGCCCCCCTTCAAGGTGTACAATCGTTTAAAACCTTGCTTTCTGTTGTGAAAACAAAATAAGTTGTCAGCTGTGAACTCACACAACATTTTCACGTAAGACACTAAGGTAAAACTGAACAGAGTGCAAAGCATTAATTAAGATCCCAATTCTAGTGATGGTGCAATCACATGCACCTGAATATTGAGATAAAATAATTTATGTTGTGCAACTGAATAACAATATGATAGCTGGCGAAGTTTAGGCACATACTCCTCAAACCTAATCTTCGTTTCCAGAACCATATGACAGTAGTGTTTAGTCCAACAGAATTTATAAATTGCATTTGAGAGATCCTATTGATGTTGGCTACTGAAGAAACTTATTTACTAATGCAATTTCCTACAGGTAAAAGCTTGAATAATCTCCACGTATGCATGCGTCAGAGCAGCCTGATTCATAAATTGATTTCCAATGAGGGTTATGTAGCTCATTTAGCCAACAGGTGATCTTTGTAGAAGAGCAGTATGAAAAGTACAAACACCAGCAGAAGTAGCTATTCTCACCCCTCAACAGTATGACTTGGGGGAGAAATTATTGGAAGATAATTGCTTTGTGGAGGGTTGATGACAACAAATTCTATATTCGAAGTACTTTATAACCTGGAAAGCCGAAAAGGGGATATTCTTATGGTATCTCTTAAGAGAATGCTCAAAGTTCCAATATCTCACACATATATGCTATAGCACTTAAGTAAATGATAGAACACAAACGCGCACACACAAAAAAAAAAAAAAAAAAAAAAACTTAC